GTGTGCGTGTGTGTGTGTGTGTGCGTCCTGGCAGACAGACAGACAGACAGGTTGGTAGGTAGGTGGGCAGGCAGGCTGGTTATTTGATGAGAGACAGGTGTTTCCTGCTTAATGCGTTCCTGTTACATCCCTGTGCCCTCCCGCCTGCACGTGGGGCTCTCGGCCGCAGTGTGAGCGCCTAAATGGCCACTTCAGTCCCAGCAGGAGATATGGCTGAGCATTACAGAGCAGCTGTAAGGCAGCCAGAGACAGAGCTGACTCTGTGTGTGTGTCTGTCTGAGGAAATGTGTATGCACCTTTTATTTCATTACTAAATGCTCTAACGAATGTGAGGAAATCTGTTTTTTATCTGTGTCTGTCTTTGCTCGTATATTTATTTTTATGTGATTGTGCAGTCACATGTGTGTGGTCTTGTATTTTCACTTCTAATTGTCCATCAGGATAGAAAAGAAAGGGTTTATTGTTGCTCGTCACAATTTAAAGGTAAATGTAACGAATTCTTCTACAAAAAGAATGACACTCAACATTTCTATAATCACTCAGGATTATATAAAGGGTGTTAGATAGAGTTAGTTGCGGTTGCTATTTGTGGTTGCTAGTTGCTAACATACTAACGCCCTAATGAATTTATTCATCAACGCTACACCAGGCATTCTCTATGTTGGGGAATAGACATATAATACTAACTGTCACAAAATTATCAAATTATCGTACATCATGGAAATGTGGGCATTAATGATAGTACATCATACAGAGGGCAAAATAATCGCACAAATGCGATAATTACCTTACATCTGGCAACACTGGTGTTTCTCGTCTTCAGGCTGTGAAGCCGGCAGCTTTGGACTGAGCTGTGCAGAGTCATGCAACTGTGCTGGCGAGGCCCCATGTGACCCAGCCACAGGACGGTGTCTCTGTCCCCCAGGAAGGACAGGAGGGAGATGTGAAAAAGGTAGACGTCACCATAAGGGAGCACTTCTATTAACAAGTAGATGTTAGAATTTAACTATCAGACATTTTGAAGATGCACTTTAAAACACTTTAACTCTGTTTGTCTGTTGTGTTTATTCAATCTCTACCTCCTCTGTGCTCTCTCAGACTGTGGTGGGGATCATTTTGGACCCGACTGCTCCTTGCCGTGCAAGTGCTCCCACAAGGCTCGCTGTGATGGGCTGACTGGCCGATGTCTGTGTCCGCTCACCTGGCTGGGCCCCACATGTAGTGAAGGTACTCCTCGGCTCCTGTTGCCATTCACACACACATACACACACATACACACACATACACACACACACAGGGTCACAGGCTGTAAAGCTGAACCAGCTTTAGTGAAATACTATGTCATGAAGTGTGAGAGGCTGAGCCCCATCACTCTGTGTGTCACCCTGTCTCCCTCAATCGCCGCTCCTGTCTCCTGACAGTTATTTTAATCTGCACCCAGCGTGGCGCCCGGCTCGAGGCTGTCTTCGTTTCACCTCCTCAAAGCCGAGCACACGGGAGACTACGCACCAGTTACTTCTCCTCCACAAACCCCAGAACATTTGCTTTTGATTTTCAAATAGTGCTGATGTCTTATTGCCTTTTTTTCTTCTTTCAGCACTGCAGCACCAAACCTCAGGACTGCTGAATGTCTCCCAAAGAAAGAGAAGAGCGGGCAGCAGAATCACATAACCCGTAGCAGAAGGTGCAAACTCCTGACTGGACAATCACAGACAGGACTTGGCTTGTGTGAAGCATTTACAGAGCCTGTCTCTGTATAGGTGATGTTTTTTTTGTGAAACAGCTGTCAGAAAGTGGCGCTACATCATACTCACGCTGCACCGCACTCATCACCGAGCACGCCGCTCAAACCAATCCACCAGTGAACCTGACATGTGAAGGGCCCTCGGAGGACCAGGAACTCCACACTGACCCCAAACTGTGTAAGATTATAGTCCAGGGCTACACAGACACGTTAGCAATACACACTAATACCTGCATCACATCTGCCGATTGAAAGCGGTTAAGTTACTTTCTCCAGTTTGACGTTTAATGAGTTGTTAAGGGTTCGGTTTCTTTCTTCGGGCCGTTTGGACGAGACACGTGACTGAATCGGAGACTTTCTTGAAACCAGAGAGCCTTTACATCCCCAACCAACTCTGCTCATAAAAAAAACTCGGTGGTTAGTATAGCAGAGTGCCGAGCGTATTTTTGGTGAAGATTAACAGCGGCTAAAACGGATTTAGAAATATATGGGTCATGTATATACTTATTCTGAAGAGTAAAACACCAGGATCCGCACATACAAGGACTGCAGGCATGTGAGCTACAAACATGTGGTCCATGTTACAATAATGGATGAACTCTCATCTTCGCTTATTTAAATGTTTGTACACTTACCTACAGATGAAAAATATCATCAAGGTACATGTTATTCCTTAATTCTGTATATGACATAAACATGCATCATTTACCTGCATTAAGAACACTTCATGTATTGCCATTGATTGTAGAGTTGTGCAGTGTGCTAGTCGCGAAATATTTTGCAGGCAAATCCTGCGTGGAGTTGCACTTGTCTGCTGAATCAGCAGCTGATACCGAGTTTGGGAGTTTTGTAGAAAGGTTTGAAAGTTGATATATAAACACTTTGGCTGCAGTTGTGGACATTTTTTTTACTCTAGATGAGATTACATGTCCAATATCACTACTGCGATCAACAATTCTGTGTGTTTGATTTGAGGGTTAAACTTGTACAAAGAGTGTGTATTTTTTATCAGAGATAATCGAATGTGCTTCTTTTTCTGATGGTGTGTGGGGCTACATTGATCCATTTTGATTGATTGAATGAATTATGTTTTCACTGTGTTATCCTGTTGTCTTTTTGTGTGCTCCACCAAATAAATAACAAATTGATACCGCGAAATGTTCCTGTTTTTATTGTCGTGTGACCAGTGGGCTGTGAATGCAGCCTTGCATGCTGCTGATTTGTGTGATCCTGTTGTGGGTTGAGAGGGCACAGGGAGGGACGGAGGGAGGAAAAAGGGGAGAGAGGGTTCAGCTGTCACAGAGACCTATGTGATCCTGTGTGAGTGGATGTGTCGGGGTGTGTTTTTGTGCTAGGCTACTACCAGGCATCACTCATCAGCCCGAGAAGGGTCAAGCATCAAGGCCGAGCCTCCATGACAGTAGTCTAAAGAGGGTGGGGGGTGTGAGAGGCACCTGAGGTACACTGATGGTGTAAGGTGTGTGTGTGTGTGTGTCTGTCTGATGGTTTGAGTGTGTGTCGTGTCAGAGGAAGAGAGAGTGCTATTCCTCAGACATTTTTCATGTGCGCTGGGGCATTTTGTCTTCCATCGGCCAGAAGCGGCCGTGGTCCGGCAGAGGCAGGCAGGTGCCAGGACCAAACATGCACCCGCTATCCAGCATCCACCAAGGTGAGTGATGGGTGAACGGGTCCGACAGCAAGAGGATGGAGATGGAGCCCTCCACCACCACCACCGCCACCACCCACTCACCGGTGTGGTTGATGGATGGGGGACCGCTCCGGCTCGCCCCGTGTTGTGACAGGCAGCAGATGTTCTCCAATAATGTTTATCGGCCGGGCCTTCATCTTCGGATGACACACACCTGTTTCCAGTCAAACAGGCCCCGAGAGGCCATTCATCCCCGGCGCTCATGGGTGGCCACTGCACTGCCCGATCGGCCCTCCACACATAAAGCAGGGTGCCACAGCAAAGAGCAGTGCCACAAACTAGGAGCGGGCCACCATTGTTATGGGTTCATACACTATCTCAATATGTCATGGCTCAAATATTTGCAGTTAACGTTACATATTTTATTTAATTCAAGTTAAATTTGATTAAGTCAACTCAAACACTTTTATGTTATTATCCCTAACAGTTTTGAATTATACTGTGATGTGTAATATCAATTATTCCTGAATGACAAATGCATTTCCTCTTTGTTCAAACATTATATCATTGGACGTGAAGACCAAAAGGCAATCCCCTGAGCCATATCCATATCCATTTCTTTTTCTTCTTCTATTATTAAATGTTGTCTCAATGTTTTCACACTGTAAAGAAACATGGTTCAGTTTAATTCTGACTGGAGTACTGCTTTTGGTCGGGCAAAATTATAGCACATTGATTCTGACCATGGTCGAAGGCTACGTTCACTTCTGTTATTTTGGTTCAGACCAAACAAGGCAGGTGTGAAGGCGACCTCAGATGCTCAAAAAACAAAACCCTAACTTAGACATAATTCATTTCAGACACGATCGCTTCATTTAAATTACCTCTAAGCTTTACTTGTTTTTTTATTACAATTGCACACCAAAAAGTTTGTGCTAAAACGTTTTTGGAGTGTAACTGTCCAACTGTTGTACTGTCTGCATACTGGCTTATCAGGAGTGTGGGAGGGGGGGTGCAGGAAACTGGCGATGAAATAGCCCGTAGAAGGTAAGATCGCATCACGGGTACTTTTTCGCTGTAATTATGCATACGCCACTCTTTGCAAAGGAGATTATATCACATCACCGCCGTGGCTTCACTTCACGTCCCAGAGATAATTTCTGCCCCTCTGTGTTGAACCAGATCTCCCAGAAGGCCGCAGCTTTTTGAACTCCGGCTGACAAAGCTGTTGGCTCAGATAAAGGAACGAGGGGGGAAATAATTTCAAGTCGTCCTGCACCATTTGTTTGGCTGTTGCCTGGAAAAATAAATGTTGAACGTCAATGCCGCAAAAAAAGATTTGTATCATTGAACTCTCCCACACTCTGCAATCTGAAGGTATCTTTAGTTTTAGACGTGTCAGCTTTTTTTGAAATAAGTTGCATGTGTCTTTGAGCAGATTGACATCTTGCAGCTTTTTCTATATAAATTAAAGTATAATTTCTTGTTTATTCAAATGGTGAAGTGTTCATCAAAATCTAAATGTGAGGTAGTTGTACATTGCTGTTTCCACCACTGGATGGTGCTCATAGTGGAAAACAGAGTGAAACTGTGTGGATCCAGTGGGATAATTACACAGGCTTATGTTAAAAGGTACAAAGATTTCAACTGTCTGATAAAGAGACCTATATTTATAGGTTACAGTGTCATAACCCGACACTGCTACACACACCCCCTCTAACATGGAGCTAAAGGCCTGATTAGCTACTTTCTAATCTATACTCCATGAGCAAAGAATGAGATGACTTCAAATGTTTCTGCCACAACGCCTGTCCTGATTAGACTCGTCATATTAAAACCATGTGCACGGCTGCTCGGCTCTGTCCCGGTCTGTTCCCTGGAACTGAGACCGGAGTGTCCATCAATAACGCTAATGATCTGTAGCCTGCAGGGGGAAAAGCAAACAGTGTAATGAGACCGCAAAACCTTTAGCTCTGGTGCTTTCTAGGAGAGAAGGCAGGCATGGAGGAAAGACAAGAGGAAGAAGGAAAAGAAGAAGAAGAGAGAGTCTGAATGGCTGGCATACACACACACACACACACACACACACACACACACACACACACAAACACACACACATCGACTTAGACGACCCTAACCCTAAACCCAATCCTAACCTCAAACCATTTCTTCCCCTTAAAATGTTATAATTTTAGGAGGCCTGGTTAATTTTAATAAGCACTGACGCTCCCACCATTGCCGTTTTTCTGAATTCACTGACTATGACCTGAATAAGAGATTTTTTAAGTGTCTTCAACACATTCAGTCAGAACTACGTCTTGACGCAAACCTAACCCTAATGTAAACCTTCACCTTCCCCAACCTCAAAACGTGTCTTCAGGTTAAAATATAATGATTTACGTTATGGGAATTTGCTTTTTACCCCCATAAAAAAGAGTAATCCCCATAATGTGAGTACCTGGGCCATCCATTATCAGGACTTATTACCAGGACATCGACTGCCATTCATTGTGGACAGCCTAGCCACAATGTTAACCCTAAATTTAACAATGACTAATTCATGCCTAATCCTAACCTTAACTTAACCACCACTCACATCTTACCCCTAACCTTAACCAGGAGCGAGGAAATTATGTTCTGCTTCATTAGGACCAGGCTTTGGCCCCCATGAGGTCTACTGGTCCTGACAATTTCAATGATTATACTGGAAGAGGTAATAAAAATGAGTATACACACACACACACACACACACACACACACACACACACACACACACACACACACACACACACACACACACACACACAGGAGGACGCAGACAGAGGAGGTGCTACCATTATTGTAAACACAACAAAAACTTGATGTTATGATTTGTGGAATATCCCCACCCACTCACACAGACACACACATAGAGAAACACACTTCCCACTTGAGCCAGCTGTTTGCAAGTACCACTCCATACCAACCCCACCTCCCCCATCCCTCCTTGAAAGCCATACACTCCCACACCCATCCATGCCTCCCTCTCCGAAAATGTTTCCCCTGGCGTCTGAGTCAGCACGGGTGCCAAGTCAATCAGTGTGAGAGCTGCCAGCTGTGATAGCTCCCGCTCTCTGGGGGCTTGATGTATGTTCGAGCGAGGGGAGCGGGGCAGTTACATGCCACACAGGGCCGGCTGCGTGGACGAGTGGCAGAGGAAAGGAAGGGAGGGTTGTGGTGAGGACAGAGAGAAGGAGTGGAGGAAAGAAGAAAAAAAGAAAAATGGACAGTGGCTGAACAGGAGCTGTAATGAGGCCTGATGGATTCTGAGGCTGTGCCAGCTGCCCTATTAGTTGAGTGGCTCCAAGCCCCACCAAGTGCTGCCCACGGTGTGCCCACCCGACCACGTCCACACACACACACATACACACACACACACACACACACACACACACAGTGGGGACACAGCAGCTTGGGGATCCAGCACCTCCACACACACTAGGCCCTGCCAGCCACACTTCAATACACACTGAGGCCCTTTATGAGACGCTGTGGGTTAATGACGGCAATAACTCGTCCCAACGTGTTGATTAAGTGTGAGAGGATACATGGGTGACATTGGCATGCGCTAATCAACGCTGATCAAACCGACGCTTGCACAGCAGTAAAAACGCTAAGCTGCCAAACTCACTCGGGTGCCCTCCTCGCACCACTTCACTGCCCACACACAATGGCATTATACACACTGCTGTCTATTCATAATATTTTGGTGTTCTTTCCAGAGTCAGTGCCTTTGGACTTTTTGTCTGGGGGAAGTTCTTTATGTAGGTGATGTAATTACATGGACAATTTGAACTGCTGTGGGGGTACAGTGGTCAGTGAGGGGTAGTGGCAAAAGTCCTGCCGCCAAGTTATTTCCCAGATGTAGTCGAAGTATAATTCCTGTTTGTTAAAAATTGTTGAATTTTTGACAGTTTTATTACAACTGCAGAATGATGATGCATAATTTTTCTCTGGATAATCGCTCTGCTCCAATGCAAGGTGATTAAAATGTTCCAGTTCCAGATAATTTAACTTAGAGTTGAACCATGGTTATTTTAGTGCTTTTTCTCACGCAGTACCTGGCTTAATTACAAATGAATATCTGGCAAGCATACATTAATTCAATATGATGAAACAGAAATAGCAGTAAGATCTATAATCAACAATTGTACAATAAGAATGAATAGTTTGTGGGAGTGAAGGTGCATGTGCAAGCAAGAATGTGTATAATAGGTAAACATTCAAAAAGTTTTTTTGAGAGTTAAAAACTGTAAACTTTAATTGATTCTTGACTCCTGCAGGTCGGGAGGATATCTTGCTCAAACAACAATAGATGTGCCTTGATACTTATGTGGAGGAAGGAGATGGCATTTTGTGTTGAAAATCTTAAATGACTAAAGGGGATTTTTCAAATGTTTTATTGAAGCCACTTTGAAACTGCAATATGTTGCAAATTGTTTCCAACGTACT